TACAGTATGCTTGATGTACACAATAACTGCATTTAAGCAGAAAACATTGATTGTCTGTTAATTATGTTGAGAATAATTTCTCTCTTGTGTTCACAGAAGTACTCTAGGAAGAGTTAATGTCATCAATATGGGTTTTATACCAAGAAGAGAAAAAAGCACGTGCTCCAGAAGTATGCATCTTCAAATATATCACATGATATTTTAGTGGTTTGATCAAGAAACAATTTCTTTTTGGCGAGAGCTAATAAAATTTTTCTAAATGTAGGATGTGGAAATAATTTCACAACTGTAAATGTACTAAAATTTCAATTTATTTAATGCACAAAATTCCATACCACCAAGATGTAATTTCCATATATGTCTTAAATTTGAGTCTATTTTGAGTTGGTCCATTTTGGCTGCTATAACACAGTGCCTTAGGGAGGGTAATTTATAAGCATCAGGAATTTATTTCTCAAAGTTCTAGAGGCTGGGAAGTCCAACACCAAGGCAGTGGCAGATTTGGTGCTTCGCAAGGGCCCATTCCTCATAGCTGAATGACATCTAGCCACGCCTTCACATGCCAGAAGTGGTAAACACACTCCCTTCAGCCTTTTTTTTTTTAAGGGAACTAATGGGATTCATGAATGCCCCACCCTCACAACCTAATTACATTCTAAAGGCCCCGTGGTTTGATACTATCACATTGGGAATTAAGTTCCAATTTAAGAATTTTGGGAAGACACCAAAATTCAGACCATAGCAGTCTCCATCAATAAAAAAAATAATTACATAATCTGCAGTCAAAAATACCTTGGTCTTTTCTCTAAAATATTTTACCTTTCTCATGTTTCAGATTATATACTTAGCTCCCCTTTGTATTGTGCAATTATTTCACGGCTGGTATCAATTTATTCTCATGCCTGGCTTCATCGAAATCTGTCTTCTATCTCCATGATAAGAGTGAACCATTCGTGGGTCAATAAATCCAGTTTCATCGTGGGTAATTTTTCTAGTAGGATAATATGGTAATCAGTGCATCTATGGTTCATTTGAATATTAATAGTTCATACTGGCCTATGAAATAAAAGTACAGGAATAATAAAAAACCACTATCACAATGATATATAAACCATTCAAAAATGGCAAGAGACAAAAACAAAATAAATGCAGGTATTGAGTAGTAGAAGGACAGAAATAAACAGACTTGAAGTGTAGCACCATAGGTAAGAGACTCTTTGCAGCCAGCGAACCTGAATTTAATGCTGAATAAGCCACTTACTGAGATGTAATTGCATTAATCTTTTAACGTGTTTTGTTCTAGGTTTCCTCATCTGTGAAATAAAAAGATCATCAATACTTAAAGAGTTGAAGTTATAATCAGTTATTATACATAAGGCATTAATAACAGTGACTCTTACTCTAAATGTGATTGATATAAAGGAAAATATATATGCAATCAAATTACTTAGAAAAGGAAAATATATTTTTTAAATATTTTAGATGGGAACAAGTCTAAGGGGAGGATATTGAGCATCAGTAGCTATGGTAAAAACAGAACGAGGGCCGGCCTGGTGGCGCACTGGATAGTGCGCAGCTTGGGAAGCGCGGCGGCGCTCCCGCCCGAGGGTTCGGATCCCACATACAGACCGGTTCCCGCTCACTGAGACAAAAAGGAAAAAAAAAAAAAAAAAAAAACAGAACGAACATCATGTTTCCCTGCAAAATCTTCAGCTGTGAATAGGAACACTCCAGGAGGAAGTGGCAGAATGGCCTCTAGGGATTCTATAATGGAGATTATCTCCATGTAGAATACTACGTTGAAATATTGAAGAGGGAGAAGAGAATAAAAAAAAAAAAGAAAGAAATATTGAAGAGTTTCTACCTCTCTTATCATGTTTTCATTTACATCACCAGTTGCTGCTTAATCTCCACACACTGTTACTGAACCCAAGTCCAGCTGCTTGCCCTCAAACAAAAACAAATGACCCCCAAATCAAATGTTGGTGAAAAACATGGAAGTCAGCTTTAATGCAGAAATACTGGTGACCTGAGGAGAGGTGTCAGGCTAACCCTTCTCTCTGGTAAACCTGAAGGAGAATGGCCAGGCTAAAGCCGTCTCAAAGACTCAGAGGATTTTTTTTTTTTTTTTGTCTTTTTCCGTGTCCGGCAACGGATTGCAACCCTCAGTGTCGCCCCCGCAACGGACCGGGGCCGGCAACGGGACCGCAACCCTCGGTGTTGCTCCCGTGCCTCGCTCAGCCAGTGAGCGGGAACCGGTCTGTATGTGGGATCCGAACCCTCTGGCGGGAGCACCGCCGCGCTTCCCAAGCGGCGCACTATCCAGTGCGCCACCGGGCCGGCCCCAACTCAGAGGATTTTTTAAAGAGAGGCTTGAGGGAATGGAATGTGTGAAATGAAGAGCAGGAAGGAGGGGGATGTGAGCTGTTGGGGCTCCATGCAGGGAGCCTGGTACAGGCTTTGACCAAGGCTCTGTCTGGTTTCTGTTCCCACTGATGTTATTTTGGGGTCCGGCTTTGGGGAGAAATCCACGTAGCTTTATTGATGTCTTTCTGGATTTCTCAGGGTCTGGATAGTATGTGTGTGGTAGCAAGTCTGCAGCTACAGGCTGGCTGGAAAACAACTTTACATTTATGTAAATAATGTCATGTTGCCCCGTAACCAAGGTTCAAAACATCAAATAATCACAGGAAAAGATGGAACTCAGATAAATGTATACTAAGAATAAATCTGTCTTTTAAAATCTTCTAGAGCTCATGCAGTTTTGGGTCCTAACATGGTTTCAGTTCTGCTCACTCCAACAATTTCATTTTCAAAGACCAAATTTTAGGCCATACCCACAGAAAGAGATTTCGGATAACCATCTTGTATTAAAGACTTAAAGAAATACTCCTATTTCATTTTTATAGAGCAACTACTTTGTAACTGCCATTGCCTTTTGTGCATTCTTGTCACATTTTGTTTCCAAACAACACCTTTATTTATGTATCCCCTAAACTTTTCACTGGAGTAACACAGGGAGGAAATGTAAATTAAACACATAATCTGGATTACAACGTACAGAAGGATAAAACACGGTACAAAAATACATATATATGAACAAACAGGAATTTTACTACAGTTCAAAGTGAACCATGTAATATATTGCTTAATACCATAATCTAAAATTAACATTTTATACCCTTTGCAAAAATACTATTCTAGCAAATATATTTAATCATATTTGTTATCTAAAAAACATATCCACAGATCAGTTTTCATTGAACCACTGTAAAAATATTTGGGGCAATTTACCTAAACTGTATTCCACAAATATTCTCAGCAGTCATATTGTGCCATGAGACCTATGTGCACAACAGGAAAAGTAATGTAGGAATCCATTAGGATGAAGAAAATTGGGGTCCTGCCCAAACATGAACTGAGGATTTTCAAGAGTAAACATGCAGAATGTATTACAGAGTCTAACTCAATGTTTTGAAATCTGACTATTAACACCTTTTACACTTCACCACTCCATCTTCCTATTCTGCCTATCTGGGCAAGCTGATAATAAAGTCCAAGTGCTCTCTATTTTTTTTGCTGGCTGGTTCAGGGATCTGAACCCTTGACCTTGGTTCTACAGCACTGTGCTCTAACCAATTATCTGGACAGCCACCACAAGTGATCTATTCTTTGGCACCTGCAGGAAGTTTAAACCACATCCAAATACCACTGCTGCAGCACAACCCAGTAATCACCTAGGCCAGTCACCTTTTCCTCCTCTTTCTACAAACATTCTCATAACACTTCACTGTATGGCATCATCATTCTCAACATCCAAACCAAAGTTTAGGTGGAGTTTAGTTCAGTTGTAGTGGAGTGATCTTAAGTACAAATAAACAAAATATAGAGGTGAATATGTGAAGTTTTTAGTTTATAAAATCCCATTATTGTGGGTTGAGTATCCCCCCAAAGCTCACTGAAACTTAATCCCCACTAACAGTGTTAAGAGGGTGAGAAATCCTTTTATGGTAATTGAAAAGTGGGGCCTTTAAGAAGTGATTGGATTAACCCATTGATGGTTTAATTGTGGTCATGGGCATGATTCTGATGGCTTTAAAAGGAGAACAACTGAAAAGCTTAGCTCTCTCACACAAGCCATCGACCATGTGACACCCTGCATAGCTGTAGAGACACCACCAAGAACAAGGCCCTCACTGGACTTTGGACTTCCCAGCCTCTGAAACTGTAAGCAATAAATATGGCTTCTATGTAAATTACCCAGTTCCAGGTATTTGTGTTGTAAGCAGCAGAAACGGACTAATTCACCCACTGCATATGTTCATTCTGAAGAGGAAATAATGTCATTAATATTAATGCTTTCAAATGATCTCACTGAGTGCTACATGCATACAAATTGTATTATTTTAATGTTTATTCCCAAATTCTCTTTTATTTCATAAGTATTTTCACTTCATGTAAATCAAAGTGCATGCTACAGGTCGTAGAGGACACACAAGAAAAAGGCATATAGAAATATAAAATCGTGACTGTTCATCAACTGCAATGCATGGTTTAGGGTGTTGGAATCTGAAAATGTACTTTTTTGTTGTTGTTGCTGGCTGGTAGAGAGATCCAAACCCTTGATCTCTGTGTTGCAACATTAAAATGTGCTTCTATGAGATTTTCATTATACCCACATAAGTACATTAGGGCAGAGTGCACAGAGAATAACTCTAGTGAAATTTATGATTATATGTTCCCCAAATAACATGTTCATTGATTCCACCATGGAAAAAAATTGTCATACATACTTCAGTCTTAAGTTATGAAAAAGATTCAATTTTATTAATTAAAACATGAAAACTATAATGCATTCTGAATAAAACAGAAGCAAAATGTAATGCCAGCAGTTAAATATGAATACTACTCAAGAACACGCTATTCTGGTTCTTTCAATTAAAACTTCTGTGATAATTGTTCTGTCTTCAATTTCAAGAATAATAATTTTTTTTTTTTTTGTCGACCTTTGATATACAGCAACTATTGTCATTCAAGAATAGTTGGCCACCATTTCTCCTGCATCATTTCTACCACATAATCAGTCCATATTTCTCTCCTCCCACAAAAATCTCAGTGTTCTAAGGTCTTGGTCTGTTCTATTTCACATTCAGTTGGAAAAGCATTCTTTTCTGATATCCCACAGTGGTCCTCTGTCTGGAGAAGGGTGCTATGTCATGAATGCAATAAGTATGATGACTGACATCAGTTTACACTATTCTCTGCCTCTCACAAATGCTAATTAAGACAATATTTAATTTAATTTTTTTGGCAGCTGGTGAGTTCAGGGATCCAAATATTTAATTTTAAAAAGCAGCATCCTTGTTCTTCCAGGAACATGGATAGGAATAAACCTCCCATACGACTGCACTGATGGTGATTAATGTTTACATTCATGATGAGGGTTTGCCACTCATCGCATTTGTAAGGTTCCTCTTAAGTATAAATTTTCTGATATTGTGCAAAGTGTAAATTACAACTAAAGATCTGACCACATTCATTATATTTGTAAGGTTTCTCTCCAATACGGTTATCTCATGTCTAATAAGGACTGAACACTCATTAAAGGCTTTCCATGGTGAGGTGTGGTTGCCAAAGAAAGACTTTATCACAGTCATTACATTTGGAAAATTTCTCTCCAGTATACATTCACTGATGTGTTGTGAGTGTGAGTGCTGATTAAAGGCCTTGCCATACTGATTACACACATAAGGTTTCTCTCCAGTATAAACTAAAAGATGGTTAGCAAAGCTTGTACAAAAACTAAAGGCTTTGCCACACTCAAAACACATGTTTCTCCCTGTTATGAATTCGCCAGTGGGATGCAAGGCTTGCACTGTAACTGAAGGATTTGCCACACTCATTACATTTGTAAGGTTTCTCTCCAGTATGAATTACCTGATGTTTACTAAGGCCTGCAAGCTCACAGTAGGCTTTGCCACACGTATTACATTTGTAAGGTTTTTCTCCAGTATGAATTCTATAATGCCTTGCAAGGCTTGAATTTTGGCTGAAGACCTTGCCACATTCATTACATTCATAAGGTTTCTCTCCAGTATGGATCCTCTGATGTTTACTAAGGACTGAACGTTCACTAAAGGCTTTGCCGCAGTTATCGCATTTGTAAGGTTTCTCTCCAGTGTGGATTACCTGATGACGTGCAAGGTGTGAACTATAACTGAAGACCTTGCCACATTCATTACATTTGTAAGGTTTCTCTCCAATATGATTTTTCTCATGCACAACAAGATATTCACGTCTGAAAAAAGCCTTACCACACTCATGACATTTGTAAGGTTTCTCTCCAGTATGAATTTTCCTGTGACGTGAAAGGTTTGAATTTTGACTGAAGACCTTGCCACATTCATTACATTTGTAAGGTATTTCTCTATGGGTTACCTGACTGTCAGAAAGGCTTGAATGCATACTAAAGACTTTGTCACACTTACTAAATCTGTAAGATTTCTCTCCAGTATGGATTCTTTGATGATTTGCAAGGTTTGATTTTTGACTGCAGACCTTGCCACAAATATCACATTTACATGGTTTCTTTCTGGTATGCATTATCTGATGTATAGTGAGATGTGAGATGTGATTAAAAGCTTTGCCACATTTGTTATATTTATAAGACTTTCCTTTAATGAGTGCTTTCTGTTCTTGTATGAATAATGGAGAATAGATAGAATCAGTCCGATATTTATGAGAAATGTGGGTTTTAATACCGTTAGGAATTCTTTGGAGTGGTGAAACTGAGGCACCATGGTTGACAGACTCCTCAACTTGATTACATTCATAAGTCTTCCCTTTACCTGGAAATAACCACAGTTCAGGCGGATGTGATGGAAAGCTTAAACCAAGCTGATTCTTAAAAGGCTTGTTTTCTGCATCTTTTCTATCATGTTGATATCTTCTACTAATGAGATTTTCTTTCTGGGTCATCAGCTCTCCCTTGTAATTTCTTTCATCATCTCTCCTCTGACACTCAAAGACATATGTATTTTTCTGGATTTCTCTAAAGTAAAAATCTTCAGTGTCATGGTCTTTACGTCTTTCCAACATCAATGTTTGCAATACTTCTTTATTATTATTCTTTTTTGATAGTAATTCCTTAAACATACATTTAGGAGAGAGATCTACAAGATATAAAGAACCATATATTTGTGATTAATTACAGATGGTAAATAAATATTGAAAAATATAATATTACATCAAAAGTAATACTTACATTGAACAAAGTTACAAAACTTCACAACCATTACCGTCAATTTTTAAAAATACAAAAGAAATAGTCTTTAATAAAGGATGGGTGATTACATGTAACTCAAAGTCATTCTACAGAAGTGTAGTTTCAAACAACCTAGGATCAAAACATTCACATTACACAACCCTATGTTAGCACCGATGAAGGACTACTTTTCCACCATGACCCCAAAGCCCATACCAATTGGTAGAAAACACACGGCTGTCTCATGATTGGAGAGAAAGAACAATTATATCATATATATGTAAAGTATATTTATTGTGCACAAAAATGGTAAAATGCAGCATGACATACTGTAATGGTAAATAATGCATAGCAGACTTATGTAATGAATTATTTATTTATTTATTTATTTATTTAAGATGACCGGTAAGGGGATCTTAACCCTTGGCTTGGTGTTGCCAGCACCACACTCAGCCAGTGAGCTAACCAGCCATCCCTATATAGGATCCGAACCCATGGCCTTGGTGCTATCAGCACCGCACTCTCCCAACTGAGCCACAGGCTGGCCCTTGTAATGAATAATTTAAATAAGTGGTAATTGTGAACTGCAAAAAATAACACCACCGGGAAAATTTGGATTCTTCCAAATAATAAAAACCATGTTATTGTAATGAGAGTTAACTAAGACAAGCAAAGGAGCATCTCATCATAAACGTGGGACAAGATTGATAAATCTTATTAATCAAAGAAAATTATGAGTCTTCAGTATAAAACATGTAATTTTTTTTAAGATGACCAGTAAGAGGATCTTAACCCTTCACTCAGTGTTATCAGCACCACACTACTAAGTGAGCCACGAGCCAGCCCTTAAAACATGCAGTATTGTAAGCCATCTAATAGCAATGACTTGTTTTAAAAACCTTGAGGTAAATTATCAGTATTTTTCAAATAAGGACAGCAGGCCCATACTATTAATGTATTTAACTCCAAATTACACACAATGAGAAACAGGATTTGATCCTTGACCTGCAGTCTCAGACAACATGTTCTTATGCGTGATTGTCTACCAAGGTGGTATGGAGAATAACAAGTCATAGCAAATACAAGGATCACAGAATAAATACTTTAAAGGAGATACAAGAACTGGGCCATGTTGCTGATAGTGTTACTCAGCCATCCCTTATAGACAATGGTATCTGAGTGATCACCTGAAGCACATTTTGGTTTAGGCTATGTCCTGGCAAAGTTGTCCAGTAGATGAGTAGGGGTCCTGCCTTACACAGTGAACACAGTATGGGAGGCCTGTGGAAACTGGGGTGTTAAGGAATATTAAATTAATATGCCTCAAAGTGACAGTATAGTGAATCCCACTCATGTACCATGTGAGGAAAGGCCAGGACAGAGGAAGGGCAAGAGAAGAGTGAATGGAGTTATGCGCATGTGGGAGCACAGTTTGTCCTTCCAAATATGTGGGAATGTAATTGTATTAGGGAAGTTAAAATTGTGATCTTGGAAGAAAAGAATTGACTAGCAAGCAGCATAATACCAATGAATTCTTAAATGCGGGAAATGCACGACAGGCAGGGGGCAAAAGGGAGGTAGTGTGACTATATAGGAGAAAAGCAGGCTTTACATCTCTTCCAATATTTGCTATGAAATTTATAAAACTGAGTGTCCCATGAGTTCTATTTCCACTTATTCAAGAAAATAGTATATATATAGATTCCAGAAGACATGTACAAGAATGTTCCTAGCATTCTGGACCTGGAAGCAAAAATCTGGAAATGGCCACAAAGAGAGAAATGAGTTCATTCTGTACCTCTGCAGGGTGGGAGAATAAAATATTTCATGTCTGAAAAACATAGGAATAAGTGAGGGAAAAGAAAAATTTCCTCTTAGAGCTTCAAAGAAATGAACTTCTGTTTTCCCATAGAACTCTCCCACTTGCAGAGAGTTTCCCAAACGTTATTTGGGTTTTGTTTTGTTTTTTGTTTTTGGATAGCCGGCCAGCATGGGGATCCAGACCCTTGACCTTCATGTTATCAACACCATGTTCTAACCATGTGAGCTCACTGGCCAGGCCCCAAACACTATTTAATGGTGGGGCTTCCACTCTGCTCATCTGAGCTCTTACCTGGGTCCACAGCTTTGATCCATTCCCACCCATTTGGGTTTCTTGCTATTTTCACTTGGCTCTTCACAGTCCAGGGCTCTTTCCCTTGCTCCAACAAAGAGATAACACTCAGGTCAAAAAAAGAGTTTCCTGCATATGAAAAGTAAGAAACATGATGTGCTGAGGATTTTCCAGAATCCCCACGCTAATGTTCCCTCACCTAACTTAAACATAGGGTTGGGATTCTGAAAAATATTTCGCAAATTCATCTGCTGATTGGTTTCTTCTAAATGCCACGGAAATACTATAATATGCAGATATCTAAGTCTCTTCCAAGAAGATTGAACCAGAAAGACAATGGTAAAAAACAAAATTGACTATTGTAAAAGTCTGCTATAAGGTTTTATGCATACTTTATCTCTGGATTCATGACTGATGTAACATGAAGGGGGCAGAACATCTGAAGAAAGGGGACAGTTAAAGTCCAGATGTTTTTTTTAAAAAGATGACCAGTAAGGAGATCTTAATCCTTGGCTTGGTGTTGTCAGCACCACGCTCAGCCAGTGAGCGAACTGGCCATCCCTATATGGGGATCCGAACCTGTGGCTTGGTGTTATCAGCACCGCACTCTCCCAAGTGAGCCACGGGCCGGCCCAAAGTCCAGATGTTTTATTAGGAAGTCTTTTTTGTTTGAGTCAACAGGGCTTCAGTCTCAGTCAAACAATGTGGGGGTTCCTAAGAGTCACACAAGGGAAAAACATAAAGACATACAAGAGCAGATTCCTGACTTCTGGAGGAAGTTATCCTCACCCAAGGAGACCAAGTTCCTGTAGTTCTCCAACATCACATCCATGTATAAAGCCCTCTGAGCAGGGTCCAGGCATTTCCACTCCTCTTGAGAGAATTCTATGGCCACATCCCTGAAAGTCAGCAGTCCCTGTAATAAAAAACACATTTCACCAAAGTGCTATATGGGGAGTTCCTACCTTCACGTAAAATGAGAAAAAAAAAAAAAAAAAGTCATAGGACTGATTCAATTGAAGTGAGCCTGCTGACAGATCCAAACTATGGCATTTTCAGCTAGTTATGTGTCCCTAATTGTGTTATATTACACTGTTTTCATAAGAGGTTATGATATCTTTTAAATCAGTGTGGATTTCTTATTTTTGTGGACAGTACAGGAAATATACAAATAAAAAAATAACACAAATTTATCTCTATAAATGTGTTAGAGGGGGTTGGCCGGTTAGCTCAGCTGGTTAGAGTGTGGTGATATCACACCAATATTAATGTTCGGGTCCCCATACCAGCCAGCCACTAAGAAAAAAGAAAAGGTAGATGTTATGTTCAATGCACCACGAGATATTCAATATCTAGATGAGGTACAGCATGAGTGGTGTCTTCAGAGACGACAAAGTCCACAAGGGCTTTAAAGGAAAAAAGGAAGAATCTAAAAAGGATGGTAACAGAAACAGCAATCACTAAAGCTTTGGAACACTTCCCCTGTGCTAGGCATTATTCTACATGCTTTACATGTACTAACTTGTATAACAGTATAACAGCCCATGAGAAAAATATTGGTTCTCACCTACCTGAGAAGACAACTGTGTCACACACACTCTGAGAAACTTGTGTCAGGTCAAAGAGCTAAAAATGTTAGAGCAAGCACCTCAAAGCAGGTGTTTGGGAATTAAAATTGAATATGAAGAATCAGTTAAGTAAAAGATATAATTTATTACAGTAAATTTTAAAAGGTTGCCATTTGAGAAAAATGGAAACAAATTCAAGGATAACAACATGAATCTATATAAAAGGTCATTATATACAAACACAAATGCAAGCATATACCACATATCATACCACATACCTTCAAATTCCACATACCACATACCTTCCCATATCACATACCACATACATTCACAATGTCATGTTGAATTCTAGGTGCCAACTTCATTAGATTAAGTAATTAGATTAGATAAAGGAATTGGTAAAGCTATCTTTTTAGGTGTGTCCACGAGGGTGCTTGCAGAGGAGATTAGCACAACAGCCCGAGTGGACTGGATGGCAAAGACCTGCCCTCAATATGGGCAGGAACTATCCAATCTGCTAGGGGCAAGGAATAAAGAGAATCTCGCTCTCTATCTCCTGGAGCTGGGATATACTTTTCTTCCTGTCCATGGACATCAGAGCTTGAGACTCTTCAGCTTTGGGGTTCCAGGATTTACACCAATGGCACCATCTGCTTCCTTGGTTTTGAGGCCTTTGGACTTGGACTGAGTCACACTGCCGGCATTCAGGACTTGCACTAAGGACACCATTAGCTTCCCTGGTTCTGAGGCTTCAGACTTCGACGGAGCCAAGGTACGGGCATCCACTTTGCTGACAGCCCATCATGGGACTTCTCTTCACAACTGCATGAGTGAATTTCCCTAATAAATCCCCTCTCATATATTTATAACATATGCTATTGATTCTGTCTCCCTGGAGAACCCTAACTGTACTGTATTCTTACTATTTAACTTATTAATGTGATAGTGCAGAACAAATTTAAGGTCATGGAAAACATTTTAGATATAGTGTCAACTCTTAAAACATATAAAACACTTAAGATGATAATGTGTCTTTGATAAAAGACCATGGGACTGGAAATCCTGCGTTCATACACATACATACATACACACTTACATTAACTGAAATAAGAGGGATTGTTTCTCAATATCTCTTTTTGGTAATGTTTTCTCATTATTTTTGTTCATTTGCATGTTCAGACAATGAAATATATAAATTGCACTTAATGTAATTTCTCAACATTGCTGTGTGTTAAAGTATTAAGAAAATGGTACAACATAAAAAAATATAGAAACTTGAATTCCAGCAGCCATTAAATACCTATATTCAAAAATATATCCATTTCAATTTAGAAATAGAAGCATTCACATAAATGAATGGGATTTATTAGTTTATTGCATATGTAAAACAATGATTTAAGATTAGGAGATACTTTTTTTTTTATCTTAATCTGTAGTATTAATGTATGTTCACAGCAGTACATACTGGAAGAAATTATTGGATAACAAAAAATCAGGCCAAAAAGGATATTTAGAAATGTAAAAACCCATTCTAAAACAACATTTCATGAAACATCACAATCAGCGGTAAACACTGGATACATTTCCCCTAAATTAAGGCAGAGAGAAAAGGGCTGCAGTCAGTCATCAATGCACAGGATGCCTGGGCAGCAACCAGTAGAGAGAGAAAATAAGAAAAACAAAAGGGGGAAGAGAATAAAGACCTAGAACTGTTAAAATTAACAGATGACAAGACTGCAACCTAGAAAAAGAAAATATTGGTTAACTATAGACGCTAATAACATACTGAAAAAAAGTCATCCTTTTTTAGTAGTACTAATTTAAAAACAACACAGACACATATACACACACAGAGACATATTCTTACAATCAATGAGCATTTTTGCCGTTGCACCTAATTACAAGACATGAGCAAACACACCACTGCATCTAATTACTCTTGTAATTATCAGAACTATGTGAAGAACTTATAAAACTCTACTGAAGGAGTAGTATCAGCCAGACAGAAAAACTGGAAGCCACAGAACCTACTTCCCCAACACAGACACAGATTTGACAACAATATACTATATGAACCAATTGCCTTTGTGAAAATCCAGAACCATTTTAAATGTTCCTGCACCCCCAGGCATTCACCCCATATTTTGGCTTTTCAGGACTGTCTGAGGGACTGGTTTCTCTCTTGCCTGAATATAAGCATGAATGTAACAGGGTGCCAGGGTATGGGCCACTGAGAACAAAGATGATGAACATAATCAACTTCCGCAGTAAAACTGGCAGAAACTAAGTGGAGATCCACCTATAACTTGCTGAAATACCAGACATACTACAGTATCACAGACAAATAATAAGGGATCTCCTGAGTAGAAACTGGCATGGCTTTTAGTTAGGAGATTACAAATAAAAGCCCACAGAGACTACATCCTTAGGAAGGTTCTGAGAGATCTCCAGAATCTCTAGCTGGGATGATAGAAGAATGCCCTGCCTGTATGAATCCAGACATCAAAAACTGGGGAAAGGTGGCTGATTTCTGAAATGCTTAAGTCCCAAGGAAAGATAACAAGACACAGAAAGACAAAAGGAAACCTGGTCCATACCTTAAGGCAAACAAAAACTCCACAAACTGACACTCAATAAATGAGGATCTGTGAATTACCAGAGAATTGAAATTAAGTCATATGAATGCTCAACGAGTGAAAAAAAAACACACACAGCCAACTTTGGGTAATCAGAAAAATAATGCATGAACAAGATTGAAAATACCACCAAAGAGATAGAATCTATGAAGAACTACACAAACATTCTGGAGCTGAAAAATACAACTGAATTGAAAAAATTAACTACAGGGGTTCAATAACATACTTGACCAGGCAGAAGAGAGTCAACTCAAGACAGGACTTTTGAAATAAGGCAGAAGAACAAAAAGAAAAAAGAATATACAAAAATGAAGACAGCCTAAGGGACTTACAGGACACCTGCAAGTGTGATATCATAGGTATTATGAGCACCAGAAAGAACAGAAAAAGAAAGAGGGGCATAGAGCCTTTTTAAAGAAATGGTGGCTGAAACTTCCCAAACTGAAGAGAGAAATCAACATATAAATTCAAGAAGCTTAAGGAAATCCAGCTAGGATATAAGAGACCTACACTAAAACACATCATGATCAAATGGCCAAAAGTCAGAGACAAAGAAAATCTTGACAGCAACAAGAGAAAAGCAACTTCCCATGTAAGATTTCTCAGCAGATACTTTCTAGACTATGAAGGAGTGCAATGATATATTCAAAGTGCTGGGAAAAAAAACAAAAAAAAACTCCTGCCAACTAAAAATTTGATATCTGACAGATCTGTCCTTCAAAAAAGGAGAAATTAAGACATCTCCAGATAAACAAAAGTTGAGGGAGCTGAACACCATAAGAAATGCTGAAGGAAGTCATCCATGTTGATATGAAAGAACAATAAAAGCACACAAAATGATACAAAAATACAAAACTCACTAATAAAGATAGTACATAGACAAATATAGAATCCTGTAATATTTTAATATAAGCGTGTCGATCACTTTTATATTTGGTATAGGATTGTATTAAAAAGCATAAAAAGTAATTATAAATTCATGTTAAGGTATACACAATATTAAAAATAGGTACTCCCACTGGTTCAATTGACTTCACTTAAAAAAACTAAAAACATAGGGGCCGGCCCGTGGCTCACTTGGGAGAGTGCGGTGCTGATGACACCAAGGCCTCGGGTTCGGATCCCATATAGGGATGGCTGTGTAGCTTACTGGTGAGGGTGGTGCTGACAACACCAAGTCAAGGGTTAAGATCCCCTTACCGGTCATCTTTTGTTTTAAAAAAAAAACGCCTAAAAACATAAAATAAAAAAATTAAAACAGGCAGTTTGTGTCATAAATAACAAAAAGGTGGGGGTATATATAAAGAGGTAGAGTTTTAATACGTAAGAAATTTAAGCTGCTGTACAGTTAGAAGACTGTAATAACATTATGTTTTTTATAATTGTAATGGTAATGGCAAAGAAAATAGCTATAGGATATACACAAAGGAAATGAGAGGAGAATCAAAGGAAGCCACTACACAAAATCCACAACACACAAAAGAAAGCAGGAAGGGAATAAAAGATTAACAAAAGAATTACAGGAAAGAGAGAAAACGATGAACAAAATGGCAATAATAAGTCCTTCCCTATCAGTATTTATTTTAACATATTAAATGCTGCAATCAAAAGACACAGAATGGCCGAAGAAGAAATAAGATCCAACAACACGCTGTCTATAGAAGACTGACCTATGTAGGACACCCATAAGCTAAAAGTGAAAGTACGTAGAC